TTAACTATTAAAATTGATTTTATTTAGCCCAAGTGTCGGTTATATTTTTAAAACCGACCCTTGGATAAATCGAAAATTTCAATAAGTTGGGCCAAAACCCAATAATCGAGCAAGTCTAATTTTAGCCTGCCTACTTTAGCTAATCTAGCCCATGTTCGATTTTATTCCGGCCCATTTTAGCTAGTCGAGCCCATATTCGATATTATTCTGGCCTATTTTAGTAAATCGAGCTCGTGTTCAATTTTAATGATAAATCAAATATATGTCGATTTTTAAATCTCGGCCTAATTAATTGATTAAAGATGACTGACTAATTTATTTAGTCTAAGCCAGATTAATTTTCTTAACGAGCATTTAATTCCTTAGTTCATATTCGATTTAACCAAGACCAAGTAGAATTAAGTGCACTAGCCCGATTTTATTAAATCAAAGCACAGGCCCAACAAGACTAAGAAACCCTAAATTTCCTACACCCTATAAATACATCAATCTATTTTCATCATCTTCTCCATCTCCTACAAACCCTAACCCACCACACTCAATTTCACCTTCATTTTCTAGATCCATTCACACCTTCATCATCCCTTTCATTGCCCGGCTACATTTCCGGCGACCCTAGCTGCCGGCGAGCTCCCCACGGCGAACCCTTCCCGTCGGCGTCCCGAACCCGTGACCCCGCGCCTCGGTTCGACCCAACAACGGCTCGAACTCGCGGTCCCGTCCACCCTGCACCAGCCAAGTCCCGTCCCTAGCCCCTCACGCGTCCGTACGGGCTAGTTCGAACCAGCCCTGCTCGGCCCCGAGTCGCGTCCGTACCGGCGAGCTCGTCCCACGCCCGTTCAGCCTCGCACCAGCTGCCCGTTCACGAGTCCGAGCAATTCCTGTCGCGACCAGCCACAGCTGCGAGTTCGCAACAACCGGTTCCGCCCGTTCACGCGCCGGTCAACCCGAGTTCAGCCCGGTTCCAGGCCCGCGCGACCTCAGCGACCCCGTGCGCGAGTCGCCCGTGACCAGCGCGAGTCAGACCCGCGGCCCCAGCTCCAGATCTGTCTAAAACCGGTCCAACTCGCTCCAGACCCGTCCCGACTCAATCCCGGCCGCCTCGACTCAGTCCGAGTCCGAGCGGTTCAGCCTCGAACCGACCGGCCCAGCGGTCCTGACCCGTAGAAACGCGACCAGCTGCCAAGAACCGACCTGGTTGAGCAGCCCTCCGTCCGATTCACATCACCCGAGCATTTTTACTTCAAACAACTCTCTTTCGACATTCCGATTCGAGCCTATTTAAGGTATTTTGGCTTCAACTTAACTCCAATGGCTTAGATGCGATTATTGAAGTATTATAAAATCGAGGATTTGAGCAATATTTGATTTATTGGGATTTATCGAGCTTGAAGTGTATTTTTTGAGCTTTTTAAATAAAAGCGATAAAATGGTGATTTAAATTTTATACATCATATTAAATTGTCTTGAGGCGTAGCATGCGAATTGGAAAATTTTTAGAGCTCGTTTGATAGGCGAACCGATTTTATGTGATTTTATGTGTTTATTGCCGGTTGATGCGATTATTAGTTGAATGGGTTAGGTGTTGACTTTGGGCTGATATGTTGACCATATATCTTGTGTATGTTGAGGATGATGCGTTGCGAATTTCGTAACTTTTAGATGCCGTTTGATATAGCTGATAAATCCGAACTGTAGCCAATAAAATGCAATATTTTAGAAAATTAGCCGGTTGAGATTTAAGCTGGAGTGGTGAGTTGTAAAATCTCATTATATCACATAGAACGTAAGTTCTAAATTATTGGCTGATACTGAAAAGGGCCTTGATGGGTGATCACGTTTTCTTACGCTCGTCGTGGTAAAAAGTCGATTAGAATACGAATAAGATCAGAAATGCCAACTAGGGCAATATAGTAGGATATCTGATTCTAACTAAGATCAGAAATGCCATCATCGTCGTAAAAAGTCGATCAAGAAAATGGAATATAGTAGGATATCTGATTCTAACTAATTCACGGTTTTTATCGAAAAAAGACGGGGTTACTAGTTGGGATGTGTCAACCGACAATGCGAAGTCGTATATCTCATTTCTTTAAAGCAAATGAGCTTAGATTTTCGAGAATCGAGAACTCTAATTGTATCCGGTCCCGATAACCTGGTAAAGTTTGGATTCGAGTTTAATCATCTGAACACTAGCGCCGTTTAAACAACTTTAGACGTCATAAGCTAATAAATGAGTCCTTAGGTGTCGGGAGGTGGTCGGTCGGTCGTTAGTTGCCAACGTGACCATAATCGAGCCTAAGAAGACTATCGAGGCCGATTGTCTCGAAGCAAGTGTAATCCAATCGACGTGTTAATACACGTATCCTTAACGCAATCCGACGTCTCGCAAACGTGTTCAATTCTCGTCCGGCTGTTGCAGCCGAACCACCAAGTGCGTGTCCATGCACCGAATTGAACCACCGAGTGCGTGCCCGTGCATCGAGTCCGTTTGATCTACCGTCAATGCGCCGTTCCGTTAGTCGTGGTCCGAACACGCTCTTGTGTCAGTGACTGTTGTACCGTTTTAAACCCGTTCATTGGCAAAGTCATGTCAGTCATGTTAGTGTAGGCCCCAAGTTGCCATGCCGAACTCGGACCACGGTTAAGCCGAGTTGTACATAGTTAAGCGAATGATCGACCGGCTCCGAGTGAGCCGTCTAGTTCAGTCGAATCAGTTTGAAAAATTCGGATGGTTCTAAGAGGATTCCAGTTCAGTCGAATTTGTCCGGTCAGTTCGGACGGTTCGAGAAATTCCAGTCAGATTAAATGTTCAAATAGATTTAAGATTTCAGTTAGATAAAAGATCTATATAGATTTGAGACCCAGTCAGATTTGATTTCAATCAGATTGTAGTTCCAGACTTAGAAATATTTTAGAGAACTCAAAGAAATTATATTTTTGAAACCAGCTCGTAAATTTCCAAAATGATTTTCAAAACCCAGTGAGCGAACCTAGACAACCTAGACAGATCAAATAATAAAATTTGAGTTTTTATTCTGAGCCCGAATACTTAGAATATTTCGCTCAAATTTTGTAGCTTGAGGAGAGTCGAGCCTCCACCAGTTGCATTCGCCAGCATCTAGGTGGGGCACATTATACTGTGTATTTCATTGCTTTTAATTGCTTATCCTGTTTGAAGTCTATTGATTAAATTGTAGACCGAGTCGGATGAGTGATCTCGACTTGGTAAGAATTCTAGATTTTAGTACGACTAGGATGAGTTGTGTGTGCTATGCGCAGCCTAAGTTAGCGTCCAGATGAGTGATGCCCACCCTGGATTTTTTTGGGTGAAGTTGAAATTTTAATGCTCAAATGCTTAAGTTTAAATGTGCTAAGTTGATTTCAAATTGTCATGCGAAAAAAAATGTAGCCGCATGTTTGCCGAGTTGTACATGAATGTTTATAAAATCCTTTAACGTACAAGTTCCCAAGATTGCATTTGAATTGAACATATTGTCTTTTTAGAATTTAATTGAACTGCCTTTTTAGATTTAGGTTTTAATTGAACAGCCTTTTGTGTGTAAACACATTGCCATGGCGGAAGAGGAACGCGCAATTATAAGGTTACAGTCCACAGAAGTGAAAAAGTGAAATGGTTGTTATATGTAGGAAATATTTCTACGGTTTGACCTACGCACCTTGCTTGGAAAATTATGAAGTATGTTCGTTCTTCTTCCACTATCTGGATCAGAATCCTAAGGGTAAAAAGGGAAGGAAATGGATGACATACCCAATAATATGAATTTTCAAAATCAAACTTAAAGAAAAATGAGCAACAAAATATTACCTCAAACTCATTTTTTTATCAAGTTCCTTATTCTCAATACTATGGCTGAGAGTAAGATCATTCTCCTCTAGCGTCCCCGTCCCCGGATAACAAGCGGCCCTACACAAGTTAAGAAACTACAACTCAATAAAATAATAATAATAAAAAAAAACCTTAAAAAGAATCTCAAATAATTAAGTACCTTATCGTCGAAGGCGACCAAAATTACATCGTCATCTTCACTTAATTACATCTTTAGCATCGTAATTTTGGTCGCATTCGACGATAAGGTACTTAATTATTTGAGATTATTTTTTATAGTTTTTTTATTATTATTATTTTAGTGAGTTAGTGGATTTCTTAACTTGTGTAGGGGCTCCTTGTTATCCGAATACGGGTACGCTAGAGGAGATCTCTCAGCCATATTGAGAATAAGAAACTTGATAAAAAATGAGTTGAGGTAGTATTTTTGTTCCTCATTTTTTTTATTTCCTATGATGTTTGATACTGGAAACTCATATTCTTGGGTCTGTCATCTATTTTATTGCCTTTTTACCCTTAGGGTCTTGATCTAGATAGTGGAAGAAGAATGCCCTGTTCGGGACGTCAACATTAGACTTCTTCATAATTTTCTAACTAGGCCAGGTCAAACTGTAGGAATATTTCCTACATATTCAAACCATTTCACTTTCTTCTGTGGATTGTAATCTTGTAATTGCACGTTTTCCGCCATGGCAATCTGTTTACACATAAAAGGTTGTTCAATTAAAATCTAAAAAGACTGTTAAATTAAAATCTGAAAAGGTAATATGTTCAATTTCAAATGCTATCTTTGGTAACTTGTGTGTTAACGAATTTTATAAACATTCACGTACAACTCGACAAACATGCAGCTACATTTTTTTTACATGACAATTTGAAATCAACTTAGCACATTTAAAATTTTAACTTCACCAATATTTTCACAAAGAATTCAAAATACATTCAACAGAAGGCAACACAATAGTACCGAAAAAAAATTGCGAGTATAATGATTTGATTGAAAAAAACTGTGTCATTTACACTCCTCCCGTGCTTGATGATGACTATGTAGATATGTAGAATCACAAGGCTGTTATGTTAACATGGCGACACCAAACAGTATCGATATTGCTAGTGTCCTATGAAGCGAAAAATTGATATTGATAATTTGATGGCAAGTGAGAATTGCAATATGATTACGAGTTTGGGTAAAGACTGCTGGTTTGGTTAACTCAGTGAATATGTCATAAAACGATCACAGTGAGGAGGATTTTCATTTAATTAAAGACAAGGCTAAGCAAGTTTACCATGGTTGTGGGATAATCAAAAGCCATCGTATATGATATTTCAACTCTCCATGATATTAAATGCACGAGATATCATAATTGTCCAAAATTCATATTCAACTTCACCAAATTCTAATATGCATAGAAGATTAATCATATTCAACTTCACCTAATTCTAATATGCATATAGATTAATGGATGAACACAATATCAAATAACAGAATCAAGGATAATGTAAGTGTGACCATTTTTGGTCAAAGAGGAAATGTATACCTTCACTTGAGCGGCAACAAGAAAGTGATTGGATTCGTAATTGCTCTCTTGACCACCAAGAGAATCATCGAAGGATTCTCATCATCTTCAGACTGAATTTATAAAATTCATAAAGGAATTCGAGGAGAGGGATAGACTGCGGGAAAAGAGCAGAGAACGCCACACGAAATTCATTTCTCGTAGGAGCTGAGATACGATTATTATACCACAAAATTTCTTATAACTTGGAAGATAAAAGGTAATCAACAGAAGTGTGGCAGGAAAACAACAGTTTTTTGGGAAGCAGAATGCGCAATTGTAGGGTTACAGTCCACAAAAGAGAGTGAAATAGTTGGTATATATAGGAAATATTTCTACGGTTTGACCTACGTGCCTACATGGAAAATTATGAAAAAGTTTGATGTTGACGTCCCGAACAGGGCGTTCTTGTTCCACTATCTGGATCAGGACCCTAAGGGTAAAAAGGCAAGAAAATGAATGACACAAAAATGAGCAACAAAAATACTACCTCAAACTCATTTTTTATCAAGTTTATGTCAAACCGTAGGAATATTTCCTACATATTGAATATATAAGAATATTTCCACTAGCGTCCATAGGAATATTTTCTATATATCTCAAATAATTAAGTAGCTTATCGTCGAAGGCGATCAAAAGTACATTGTCATCTTCATTACCCCTAGGCTGAAGTTTCAGAATCCTTCACATCGTTATGGACATTCCATGACAGAGGTGATTGGAGCGACTTGCGAAAGCTTTAATAAATCATGAAATATTTGAAAAAAATGTCCGGTAGTCACTAACGTATGACGACACATACTTGGAATGAGCATGTAGTGCTTCTTACCCTATTTACGATACGAATAAGGATTGCTTCGGTTATTTTATATCACTTGCGTCCAACAATGAGGTGTTCCCATTAATACAATATTGAAAGCCTCCGAGGCTTACAATTTGGCTGTTGAAGCATTGGTTAACTCAAATTGTGCGGTGCGTTTCAAATAAATACTTACATCTTGAATGTGTCCCGTGCCCATTCTCCACAGATAAAATCATAAAGTCATTCAAATTCTTCTTTAAAACATTATCATTTTAGCTGTGGAGAATGGGCACGGAACACATTCAAGATGTAAGTATTTATTTGAAACCCACACCAGATTTTGAGTTGAACCAATGCTTCTTACAACCAAATCATATGCCTCTGAGGCTTTCAATATTGTATTAATGTGATAACCCATCGTTGGAAGTGATACAAAATAACCAAAACAATCCTTCTTCGTAAATAGGGTAAGCACTCCATGCTCATTCCAAGCATGCGTTGATGACTATCGGACATTTTCTTGAATTCAAATATTTCATGATTCATTAAAGCTTGTATCGGCCGCAAGTCGCTCCAATCAACTGTGTCCATGTCCATGGTTCTTTAGGTTTAACGATGTGAAGGATTCTGAAACTTCAGCCTTCGAAAGCTGTGACAATGTAATTTTGGTCGCCTTCGACGATAAGGTACTTAATTATTTGAGTTTTTTTTATAGGTTTTTTATTATTATTTTAATGAGTGGTAATTTGTTAACTTTTGTGTAGGGCTGCTTATTATTTTAATTATTTCAGTTTCAGCCATATTGAGAATAAGAAGCTTGATAAAAAATGAGTTTGGGGTAGTATGTTTGTTGTTCATTTTTTTCTTTACTATGATGTTTAATGTTGAAAACTCATATTCTTGGGTATATTTGGGAGAGGGGAAGCTCAGGCGTGTCTTGATGTTTTGTGAGGCATTGGAAACATAAGAAGTCTTACTCGGATTTTAGGTGAAATGCACAACTTGGCCTTGCAATTATGCCAAACAGATTCTTTTGAGTACAAAGCTTTCCCAGTGACATTAAGAAAATGAGTGATTGTCTGTAATGATATTAAGAAAATGAGTGATTGTCGCTTTTGGCGTTTTTCCCTTTTCTGTTTCAAGTAGAAACATCTTGAAGACTAATATTGGACCTGAAATACTCGTGTTTTCCCAGATTGAAGACTTTGCAAACCATAATGCATTTGATCTGCTTGCGAAATACCGCTGACCTCATCTTTTTTTCAATGATGATATTTAGGTAAAACTGAAAACAAGTGGGAACTTCCTAATTTGAATTAAACACTGATTTTTCTAGTCAAGGAATTATATTGGATGCAGTAAAGGTGGCATATTTTTTTTTTTTTTTTGGGAAAAAAATTCATAGATTGATGTTCTTAATACTTGATCTCATGATGGCAAATGTATTGTTGACAATTTTGTATCAAATTTCAGGCTATAAAGCTTACAGTTCTAATAGGGTCTTCTGGTGTGGGGAACACATTTACAAGAGTAGTTGTTGAGACCAGGGCTTTCCTTAAATGAGGTTCTATCTTCTCACATGTTATAAATAAAAGGTGTAGTTTCAGGAGATCCCGTGTTTGTTTCAAAATTGCTCAAATCCCCTTACATTTGTTTCTATTTTCATAACTCTGCTCAAAGGCATATGTAGTCTTTGGTATTATTTTTGGAAGTCAAACGTGTAGTTTTTTCCAATAACTTAAAAATAAAATAATTTTGTTTTTAACTCCGCCCTCGTGATATCCAGAAACCGGTCATCCTTGCTTTATCAAAATCGACCTCGCAGTCAGAGTGCACGACAAAAGAAGCTTACTCATGGACTGAGGTAAAAAAATTGCGAACATAATGGCTGCTAATTGTTTATCTCGTCTCAAGTACCATAAATTCCTGGAATGTAGTTTTAGTTTACCTTCTCTGGTTTATGAATGAGTCTTTCGCAGGGACGTGCAATCTATGATAGCAGCAATTCATTTGTCTCCGTTGAGTACAATGGAAAAACATTCGTGCCCGGCCAGGTTTGTTATTTTTTCTTAAAAAAAAACATCTAATTAACTATGTGTTGAATTTGGTTTTATAACTTTATGATGGAAATTATTATATTAACACCCTTTTTTCTCCATTGGCAAACAATGCATATATTTTCCCTGGATGTGGTTTGGGGCTTATCATGTCAGGCACATTTCGTGAAGATGATGATTTGCTCTTGGAAGCTAGTAAGTTAATAGAAGAATTTAAAAAAGAAAAAGAAAAAAAAAAGAGAAGTGGAAAAAGAAAAAGAATGGAAACAAAAAAACACAGCAAATGTTGTAGTTTGCTAGTTTATGGTTTCAGTAAAGAAAAATTAATACCATTTGTTTACATCCGAAATACATCTGAAGAATTAACAAAGGAGAAACATGAGCCTCTCTTCACCAATATAATCACAGCCCACATTGCAACTTATGTAGCTGCAAAATCATATGAACTTGGTAAGTGACCATATCTTACTTCACTTTATATATGGTGCAACACAGGACTGTATTGAGCTTAAATTACGTTTATGCCTTTCCAGGTCTTGCCGCTCGTCTACCTGGCTTTAAGAATCTCTTTAATTTTGCTGATAGTTTCAAGTACTCTCCAGTCTTTGCTTAGTATTGTGCAGTATTAGCTGAAATGATATTTATGCGCTTCCAGGTCTTGCCTCTCATCTCCCCTGCCCTAAGGATCTCTTCAAGTTTGCTGAAGAGTATCTCTGAAGCTACGACAACTACCGTCGAACGAATCTTTTCTACATTTTTTTTTTCATTTGACCACATATTTAGTTTTTCTTTATGTGCTTTTTAGAGATTGAGAAAGGGCTTGGCGGGCACAGGTTGTGGGACACCATCTCAAACGATTACTCATATTTCTCGAACACTCTTTCACAAGTAACCGTGATCTTGTGCTAAACAAAACAACTTTCAACCAAGGCTATACTACTCCGTTATATCGTTTTTATCTTTCGCCTCATCCATTCTTCTTAAATGAAAAAAAGACTTGTGTCGGCCAATAATTTGTTGAATCTGCACAACCTTTGATTTGGAGCCCAATAACGTTTCCTTAAAGGATTTGTCAACCCTTATAGAGAATAAATCCCTCTCTTCTCCTTTTAGTCGAGTATATTTAAACTTGAAAAATTGGTCCTAGGCATCCTTTAACCCTCTCTCGTTGGTCGAGTGTCTTTTCTTACATCAAGTGTTGATACTTTCAATAAGATTCATTAACAAAGGACGAGTAGTGGGATTTTATTCGACTAGTTCTCTGAATCGTGTCCAACCTTTCCCTATGACCCACCTAGATAGGTATGAAAAGCTAAAGTATTATTGACTGTAGCACCATGAATAGATCATAGCAAAGCAGCCCAATACACCGACAAAGCAAGGGCTCTTTATTTCCCAAAGAAATTATACCTTGGAACTCTTAGCTGGAATCGTTATGATATAGCACATAGTTTAGCTTGGACAGACCGACTACAATCAGCTCGGATGGTGGGTGACTATAGGGTAGCTCGGTTAATCGGTTAACATTAGTAGCTTTGGCATAAGTTGCTCGGATAACATAACTGATTTCAGCTCGGAGTGGCTCGAAGAGTGTCCTCCTAAGAGGTCAAATCCTAAAAATAATAATGAGTTTGACGACATGATTGCCAAACGGAATCTGAGCTCTTACGATATAGTTAAGCTCACTTCAGGTGTAGAGCTTAGCTCTGTTTACGGGTGACTTCTATACCGGAAGGTATACCAACCAACCACTTTCATTTATGTTCGATCTCTTATTACTTGTGTTTGACATTTGTTCTCCTTTTGCTTGCCGACAAGTTCATGAAGTTCATGTTGGAGTTATATTCTACCACACGTATCCAAAAGAAAAAAACCGCTAAGTACTCGGCCGACCTCCTCTTCAACGATCCCTAGAACCACGACCTTCTCTACTCCTCAAAAACAGTCTGCCAACGAGTTGCTTCGAAAGATCATCCTTGGCTCGAAAAAACGAGTTGCTTCTGAGCTCGCAAATAGCTCGAAAAAATTCAAAGAGCATCACTTCACCTTTTTCTTATTCACATTACTATATATTTTGAGATCCTTATCAAGCTAGGACATGGACATCTTTATTTCCCAGCTCCTAATCTTATACAACAAAATTTCTTATAAATTGGAAGATAAAGGCAATCATCAATTTGGCCTTAATCTATCCAAGACATAAGAAATTTTGGAGGTATAAATGCATGAATTATTTGGCATAAATCGAGAATCCGATGGAGAAAAAGAAAGAAAACAGATTTTCTATTTGCTGAAGGAAAAATAAAAGAAAAGAGGAGAGAAAACGAGATATAAGAAACGAGTCGAGACATGTATATATATATTTATGAGTCATTTGACTCATCTCCCACTAGTATAATTTTCTTTTTTCTTCTTGTTTTAAATATTAGTATTACAATATTGTACAATCCGTGTATTATACGAGTGTTTGTTAAAAAAATTATATTAAAATGAAAACATAATAAAAAAATTGTTTTAATTTTGAAATACTTTATAGAATAACTATATTACTATTTATATTTAAAATAACATTGATAAGGCTTATCATCTTATATTATAATAATTTTTTAAAATTATACCATTTAAGAACTTTATAGATAAATTGATTTAAATAATTTTATTTTTTAATTAATTTTAATAGGTAGTTTACTTTTTATTATAAAAAAATATAGTTATTTATTTATTTTGTATGTACAATATATGTGTCAAATCGAACCTCATCAATACTTGATTAATTTGATATACTATGTATAAAAAATGATAATAAATTAAAAACATATTAACTTTTAAATTTACTTATGATTTAAGTTATTAATTTTTCATAATTTTAAAAGAAAGACGAGGAAAAAAAAGATTGAGAAAAAAAATTATGTTTTATAAATCACGTCTAGAATAATGTAACATAACTAATTTTCTACAAAAGGGAGCATAAATGTCTATTATATTTATGACTATTTCAAATCTAATTATTTTTTGATTGAGAGTAAATTAAATTCTTCCATGCCAAATAACCAAGCATGAAAATTTTATCACATAAGATCCCGAAACATTTCGATTATGCTATTCAAACTCAACACATTTTATAGAGAGATTTTGTACTGCTCCATAACATGTGTTACAACATTGGCTTATCAACATTTAACGTCGTTAATCCAGCCCCGGCCCCATCGTTTGGAGCTTAATGCAAGCATTATTGAACTACAAGAAGAAGAGTTTTCCAAGGAGGTAGGACTAGTGATGTTCACTGTCACTGCCTTAACTTCTTCTGCTGGCAAGGTAGACATTGGTGGAGTGGCTAGGCTGCACAATGAGGAAGTGTTTGCAGGAAATATAGTGTTTGAATGGGCAGGATGTGAAGAGGAAGCTATGCTTTTAGCAGTTAGGTGGCAATTGGAAGTGGCAGCTACACAAGGTTGGAACAAAGTGGCATGCTTACTGAATTCTGCGAGTTTTGTGCTCAAGCTCAAGGGTGATTTTGCATTTCCTGTATCTATGTGTAATGTAGCTTTAGATGTGGATGTTCTTAGTTCTAAACTGTTGGTTTGTGATTTTCGCTTAGGTTCTGTTTGTGCTCGTAGTAATAGTTTAGCCAAATTGGCTTTGGAGAGAAAACAATGTGTTGTTCCCGTAAACTCGTAATCAGTTGATTACCCATTTGTAAATATTTGAGGTTGAATGGAAATTTGTTTCGTTAAAAGAAAAAAAAGATGTGAGAACTCACTTGATATGTACATTCCAATTTAATGAAAAACAATGCTTTTGATTTTATTCTATATATATGTTATTGCTCGTTAACATATAACATTACATTTAATCTACACCGGCTATGATATACTTCATTAAGTCCATAATCCACAATATAAAAGTTTGGCTTTGTGATATTATTTCCTAACAATATCAACCACAAAAATCATTTCATGTATTTATTTGTGTGTATATAATAATTTCACAGCTGGGCTCAATTCGATTTTAATATTATTTCAATTAAAAAATACGTGAGTATTATATTAGTCGTAATTGTTTGTATTCAAGTGAAATAATATGAAGCGAATCCTATATGCATATTTACGGAAAACTGTTAGTGCACGTAAGGATAAAATTTCTGAAATTGTTAAATTAACGAATTAGAAAAAATTATAAAATGCGAAGTAATATCTGTTAGTGGTTCTATATAACACATATATAAATATATATATAGGACTAACCTTTATGTAGCGGAAGCGAAAACTTGCCCGTATCTTTTATCCGACGGCTACTAGAGTCGTCGGTATCCTCTACGCTCTAAAACCCGAGCCGCCTTGTGATGGTTTCGGCTCAACAAGAGAATATGCACTAAATAAGGACTTATAGTATTTGTGTTGCTTGTTCTTTTTTCTCCTCGTATTGTTCACTTTTCATGATGCACAAAGCATCAATTTATAGTTGTCTTAATACAACTATTCATTAAGTGAAGCCTTTAATCTCCACTTCATTAACTCTTATAACTCCATACATAATGGAGGTGAGTAACAACTCCACCTTAAAGTGGATGTTACAAGTGAATTGATGCATGTAACATCAATTACAAACAATACTCCCACTCAGCCACTTAAGCCGAGACAATAACATAAAAATCTTTATTAGCAAATCTCTTGCCTCATACGGGTAATAGAGCGTGCGACCAAAAGCAACAATAACAATGTTACATTAAGTCACCATCTAACTAACATAACACCTTATACTTACGACAACCTCTAACTGTTCAAAAATCACCAATAGCATACACTGTCCCTATATGCTATATACACAACATGGTTATATTCAAATATAACCGCCCGGGCTAATGTGGTGAAGTTGAATAAGTTATTTCTTAGACACTAATGAAACTTCATCTCAACTTAGTTGCTTTCCTAACATGCTCCGTCGAACTGTATCGATCATAGCTCTTGGAGGACATATTGAAGTAGCAACACTAAATCTCAATTTCATAACATAGTTCTAAGTCAAAAGGCTTCGTACAAAGTTGGACAACAAAATCCATAGGATTCACACCTTGACAAAGTAGGGAATTATTTGTCAATCCTTAACGGTCGTTCAAAAGCACACGCAGTATGATATACGTGTCATAACATAGCTCCCACTATGATGGGCATGTCACTCTACTATGTTATACGAATCTGTAGTCAAGATACTACTCAAGTATTTAACCCGAGCCACTTGATAAATATACTTAATAATTTATCTTTCACTCGAGGTTCGGCTTCAAGGCTTTGATATGAAATCAGGACTATTTCATATTCGACTCGATAGAGTCTCATCTTAGACTTACTAAGGCAACTGTAAAAATATATTTATACAACAAATGTATAAATACAATTCATATTACATACACTTAATATGAATATGACATAGTCTCATCCTATTACTCACAACTAATGTGATAAGGCGATTACCTGTGTGATAATCGTAATCAAAAGCCTGGTGACATCTTTACTCATGCCTACTTATGCAACATATGCTAAAGAACATATCAAAGAACAACAAATTTCATATATGTTTGGTGTAACATTATACACATCCATTATCCCACAAAAATAAAATTAAAACCTACGCAAACCAAGACTCTTCACATGAGTTTGGAAAGCATCTCTGCGTATAGGTTTAGTTAAAGGATCGGCTATCATTTTATTTGTGGGTATATACTTAATGACAACTTCTTTATTTTTTATTGCGTCTCGTACAAAATGATAACGTCTTTTGATATGCTTGGTTTTTCTGTGAAACTTCGGATCCTGGGCATACTGGATAGCAGCAGTATTATCACAATGCATTTCTACAGGTTCATTGTTTGTCCTGTTTTTGTTATCTTTTTCTTGATTGGTTTATAGGTTTTTAGCCCCGGTTTAGGTCTTTTGATAGGATTTTCGGTCCTCGAGTTGTTGGTTTTGTGTAGTTGTCGTTATTCCTTTATTTTCATATTTTCGGTTGTTTCCTCTGTTTTCGGGTGTTATTCTTGTTTTTGGAGGTATGCAGGTTCGGGTTTTTGAGAAGTGTTCAAGTTTACCCAGTCGAGCTATTTCGGTTTTACAAAGCACCTGTGAGTCTTCCTAATGCCACGCCAGAAGATCCCTTCCAGACCGCCGCGCCGGGCCCTCGCGCCGTGACACCCTTAACGGGCCTTCAGACGGACAATTTTTCCTCGCCACGCCGCTACGTCCCTCGCGCCGCTACACTTCCCTGCTCCACGATGGCCGCCACGCCGCGACGATCTCCACGGGCATACAGAGGCTCCAGGTCCTTCCAACTGTCGCGCCGCGTCCCAGCCTAGCGCCGCTACGAGATCGATCGCCGCGCCGTGTCAAGACCGCCGCGCCGCTACGAACCTTCCTGCCACGCCACGCCGTGAGCTCCACGCCGTGACGAAGTCGCGTCTCGTGCCGCGGTAAAGCCTCGCGCCGCGGCGCCTGATATTTTACGTCTTTGGAAATATTAATCTGATCGCTACAAAATAGGATCGAGGAGAGTTTTCAGAACTCATTCTGCACTTTTCATTTTTTCTCTCGTTTTTATCAGAAAAAAACTTGTTCCTTTTACTTTTGCTTATCTTTGAGATTTTTGGGAGTGACACCAAGGATTTTGATCGTGGATTCAGTTTGTGCTTGAGATTAACACTCTTAATTGATCTATCGTAAGTTTTCTTCTCATTTGACTATGAGTTTGGATTATTTACTGTATACAATATTTTGTGTTCATCTTGGCATGAGTGGCTAAACCCTTGAGCTAGGGATAGGGGATGATTACTCGTATTTGTGTGTTTGCCTTGCTTACGATTTTTGTTCGATCTATTCGAGTTGAATTAAACCTAGGGTTAGATGCTTGATCACCATCCTGACCTATTTAATTGGCTTGTAGAACCGAAAGGGGAGAAGTCGATCGATCTAGGCTCGATTAGAGTAGGCTTGTTCGTGTTTGTATTGCCTATGTGTTGTTTGATTGGTTTGATTTACCGTCTATGTTTTTCCTCTTGTTACGAGCAGTTATTGAGGATAATCTCTAGACGTGTAGGTTGATCGAATTATTTAACTGAACAGTCTTAGTTTGGTATTTGCATTAGATTCGAGAGCAATCATCCCTGATCCCCTAGCATTCTCATACTGATAAGTAACTCGTTTTAAGTCATTTATAATCGTTCGTTTGCGTTATCTGAGAATTAGTAGTCGATAATTTAAAATCAAAATCATCGTATTAGAGTGTTTAGGAAATTAATTTCTTCTTCTTGTGATTGAATATACGTACGAAATAATCCGGCTAACCTTCCTTGCGATACGACCTGGGGACGAATCTTTCGATTCTACTCCGGAAAAATAAACCACAACTAGAGGTTGAGATCTTGTAGAAAATTCCTCAACCATATTGCCTCTTGAACGGCAATGCAACTGGAAACATACTTAACTTCCATAGTCGAAAGTGAAATGCAATCTTGCTTTTTACTGCACCAGGATATTGCACCTCCACCAAATATAAAGGCATATCCTGAAGTTGACTTTGACTCATCCAGATCACCACCCCAATCAGCATCCGAGTATCATTTTAATTTCAAGGACCCACCTTGATAGCAAAGTACCAAGTCACTTGTACCACGTAGATACCGCAAGATTCTCTTGACAACTTGCCAATGTGCAGGCCCAGGGTTGCTTTGGTAACGACTTACCAAGCCAACTGCGAAGCAGATGTCTGGCCGTGTACATAACATAGCATACATCAAGCTTCCTACTGCACTAGCATATGGAACATTGCACATTTTATGTTTTTCTTCATCTGTTTTCGGACATTGGTCAAGACTTAAGGTTAAACCCTTTTCGACTGGGGTATCAACGGGTTTGGAATAATGCATTCGAAAACGTTCTAAGATTCTTTTAATATAGGTTTCTTGAGACAAACCAAGAAGTTTCTTAGGACGATTTCTCATTATTTCCACTCCTAGGACATACCTAGCTTCACCAATGTCCTTCATTTCGAAATTAGAGGACAACCACAGCTTAGTGTCGTTGATCATTCCCATGTCGCTTCCAGCCAACAATATGTCATCAACGTATAGAGAAAGAAACAAAATTCCTTCTTCACTTTTCTTGACATACACACAATGATCCTCATCAACCATGGTCAAATCAAATGCACAAATGGCTTCATGGAATTTGAGATACCATCGTCTGGAAGACTGCTTGAGACCATATATGGATCTTTTGAGGCGACAAACTTTATTGTCTTGCCCTTTTGGGACAAACCCAATAGGTTGATCCATATATATCTCTTCCTCAAGAGAACCATTGAGGAATGCTGTTTTTACGTCCATTTGAAATAATTCTAAATCCAAATGGGCAACCAGGGCCAGAAGAAGACGAATAGAGGCAAATCTCACCACAGGAGAAAATGTCTCATCGTAATCTATACCTTCAATTTGGGTAAAACCTTTCGCTACTAAACGAGCTTTGAACTTTTCTATTGATCCATCCACCCCACGCTTGATTTTGAATATCCACTTACATCCAATTGATTGACGATGAGGTGGAAGGTCAACAAGTTCCCAGACATTATTTTTAATCATTGAGTCCATCTCATCATTCATTGCATCTTTCCATTCTGAATTATATGGTGAATTCATTGCCTCTTTATAAGAGTTCGGTTCATCTACTTCTAAATGAGTACAAAGAAATACATCCTCCTCAATTTGAAAAAATCGACGAGGAATTCTTCCACGATCACTCCTTCTCAAAGTAGGACCTTCACTATTTTCCAAACTAGCTGAAAAATTTCTCCCACTGTCCTCGAGAGGCATGGGGCTATGAGTATGATAACTTATCTCATGCTCTACTCTATGAGGCTCATCCTCATTTTGAGTTTGTTTTTCACTAGTGGAATTTAGAAGAACTTCATTATCTTTGGAGACCTGTTGAGGTAACATATCCCCCTCATCTCCTAAAGATACTTGCATTTCACCAATGGAATTTAGAAGAACTTCATTATCATTGGAGACCACTAGAGGTAACATATCCCCCTCATCTCCTAAAGATAATTGTATTTCTTGTTGTAACTCATACAACTGAAGGTCTTTCTTAATTTCACCAATACTTGGGAACTCATCCTCAAGAAAATCAACATTGCGTGAGTCCAACTCAGTCATGCCACCATCTGGATGTTCACCAAACATAACATACCCTTTTGAATGTTCAGGGTATCTAATGAACACCATTTTGGTAGCTCTTGGACCAAGCTTTCCATACTTGTGATTTTGGTTATGCACATAGCCAGCCGAACCCCAAGGGCGTAAATGGTCCAAAATGGGTGGTTTCCCATTCCACAACTCATATGGAGTGAGTGACACACTTTTACTCGGTACACGATTAAGGATGTATGTTGCCGTAAGCAGCGGATCTCCCCAAAATTTAATAGGGAGTTTGGCTTGCGCCATCATCGACCTAACCATGTCTAGTAATGTACGATTTCTTCTTTCAGCAACTCCATTTTGTTGCGGAGTATATGGAACCGTAAGTTGCCTTGATATACCTTTAGTCTCACAAAACTCTTTGAACATATCAGAGAGGTATTCACGTCCCCTGTCAGTACGAAGAGTCTTAATTCTTCGTTCCTTTTGGTTTTCAACTTCGGCCACGAAACGTTTGAACGTATCAAGTGCTTCGTGTCGATGAGATAATAGGTACACATACCCAAAACGTGAATAGTCATCTATAAAGGTAATAAAATATGTAGCCCCATGACGAGCTTTTATATTTAAAGGCCCACAAATATCAGAATGAATCAGCTCTAAAGGATTTGATGCTCTTGATGCCTTACCAAAAGGCTTTTTAGTAGCTTTTCCGGCTAGACAAGGTTAGCATTTTGGCAATTTAATCTTAGTCAATTGTCCCAAATGTCCCTCTTTAGCTAGCCTGGACATTCTATCTTGACCAATATGACCAAGTCGTGCATGCCATTTAACAGATTCAGAATCAATATTATAAAATGAAGCAAAAACATGTGATGAGTCATTATAACTTTCATCCAAGTCAAGAACAAAGAAACCATTCTTTAAAATACCACGTCCGAATAAATTGTCATGATATAAAATGTCCAAACCACCAGTATTGAAATTAAAGGAAAACCTAAGTTTTAACAAGGAAACAACTGAAAGTAAACAACTTCGCACCCCGGGTGCATAGAGAGTATCATGTAGGAGTAGTGTATTTCCACCATGGAGCTTAAGTTGGTATGTTCCAACCCCAAGGACATCTTCCTCGCTCTCATTCCCTAACATGACAGTTTGAGTGCCAATAGAAAACCGGTGGAATTCCACAAATCCTGATCTTTTATGAACTATGTGCTTGCTTGCTCCCGTATCTATAATCCAATTAGGAATAGAATTAGCAACTAATGCATGAGAACAAACATATAGTTCAAAAGAATTAGTGGTAGAAGGTACCTTTTTCGGCTCAGCACAATCACGAGCGGAATGACCTTTCTGTCCACAATTATAGCACTTCACACGCGCTATTTTCTTCTCCCTTTGGCCATGTGCCATAAGTTGTTTCTTTGAACCACCATTTGATCCAAAATTTTGAGAAGGACGGGAAAATTTCTTGGCTCGTTTGCGTTTATTTCCCTTGGCTTGACCACCATGGGCAACAAATGCAAGATTGGAAGGTGCTAACGTCATCTAACGTCATACTTCCATTTCAATATGTTTAGCAAGTTCTGAAAAAGTTTTTACGTTCTCGCTATGAGCCATGAGGAGCTTGAAGTTCTTCCAATTCTCAGAATCATTTGGAAGTGAACGAACCACATTTAGAACTTGCTCCTCATCAGATACATCTCGTCCCGCAGCTTTTAGGTCACGTATCATGGCACTCATGACACGCAAATGTTCGGCAACAGAGTGCTTAGGATCCATATTGTAATCCATCCACTTTAGGTTCAAGGCACGAAGCCTAGTAGCCGAAGTTTGCCCGAAGGTGACCTTAAGCTTGTCCCACATGTCTTTAGCCGTGGGGCAATTCTCAAATTCTCCAATAAGGTCATTATGCATGCAATATAACATAGTATAGCGTGCAGAACGATCCTTTTTGGACCACGTTTCATAGGTTGTCAATTCTTCCTTGTACTGCGCACTAGCAGTATCCTTTGGTTCAATCACAGTAGTGGACAAGGTTTTCAAAACCTCGCGTTCATTAAGAAGATACTGAATCTTCCTATGCCAGATGTCGTAATTGGTACCATCTAGCTTTTCGTTGGAGGACAAATCTCCAATCATAGATTTAGTTGTCATCTACAAGTATATAAAATGGATATTAGGCATGAGGTCAATATAATTAAATTATCACTTTTATTTTTGTTTATGCCATGAGTTCGAAAATTTCGCCAAGCTCATAATCATCACAAATAACACAAACAAAAATAAATATAATTTAATTAATCTTATTCCAATGAAACATATTCATTTATTGATGTTATTGTTTAACAAATAAACACAAATATAAACATCACAAAGATATTTGAGTCTCATAACATGAATAACATATATTCATGTATCGCATTAAATAAATATAAACATCACAAAGATATTTAAGTTTCATAACATGAATAACATATATTCATGTATCATATTAAATAATTATTTAATTATTACTTAGATAATTTAAATAATAACAAGAAGCTGACACAATATTACAAAAATATTGATTTATTCTTTTCATCATAATAGCACATATTATGATAATTTTAAAAAGATTTTTTTTTTTTAAATGGTAAACAATAATACCATATAAATATTTGAAAACCATAATAATAACAAATATTATTATTAACCAAAGAATAATAATAATAATTTTTACTCTTTGTTTATATATATATTAATTAGGCCACAAAACCTAATTATTCCTCCATCTTAATTATTATTATTTTTTTTATGTCATTTTCATGATCAAAAATTCATGAATGGCACTCATTCTATATTTAACACATAGTTAAAAGAGAATGAATTTTATGTAACAAATACATAAATATATTCTTTTATAAAAATGCGCCGGAGGAATAAACGGGCTCTGATACCACTGTTAGTGGTTCTATATAACACATATATAAATATATATATAGGACTAACCTTTATGTAGCGGAAGCGAAAACTTGCCCGTATCTTTTATCCGACGGCTACTAGAGTCGTCAGTATCCTCCACGCTCCAAAACCCGAGCCGCCTTGTGATGGTTTCGGCTCAACAAGAGAATATGCACTAAATAAAGACTTATGGTATTTGTGTTGCTTGTTCTTTTTTCTCCTCGTATTGTTCACTTTTCATGATGCACAAAGCATCAATTTATAGTTGTCTTAATACAACTATTCATTAAGTGAAGCCTTTAATCTCCACTTCATTAACTCTTATAACTCCATACATAATGGAGGTGAGTAACAACTCCACCTTAAAGTGGATGTTACTGACAGAAACTGGGGGAAATGGGTGCTGGCCCACTACCATGAAGGACACCATGAAAGAAGGAAAAAACCCATATGAAACCCAAATGAGGTTCCATCCCAAAACCAATTGGTGGAAGGAGGAGTAGCCCATTAGTCTTATAAGGTGGGTCTATTTTCCATATATGAACGATGTGGGACAACTCACAAGTGATATTCTAAACGGGCTCTGATACCACTGTTAGTGGTTCTATATAACACATATATAAATATATATATATAGGACTAACCTTTATGTAGCGGAAGCGAAAACTTGCCCGTATCCTTTATCCGACGGCTACTAGAGTCGTCGGTATCCTCCACGCTCTAAAACCCGAGCCGCCTTGTGATGGTTTCGGCTCAACAAGAGAATATGCACTAAATAAAGACTTATAGTATTTGTGTTGCTTGTTCTTTTTTCTCCTCGTATTGTTCACTTTTCATGATGCACAAAGCATCAATTTATAGTTGTCTTAATACAACTATTCATTAAGTGAAGCCTTTAATCTCCACTTCATTAACTCTTATAACTCCATACATAATGGAGGTGAGTAACAACTCCACCTTAAAGTGGATGTTACAAGTGAATTGATGCATGTAACATCAATTACAAACAATAATATCAAAAAATGATTATTTTGACAGATGAAATATTATTTTGAAAAGAGTATTAGAATTCTCGAAAAAAATAGGTAAAAGAGCGTATCTATATGTTTGTTTTCTTATCCATTGTAGTGAAGCAACTAAAGTCTTCCAGTTAATTAGCCCACTACTTATTTTGTTCTACAACATAATTTTCACATTGTAGGTAATAATGTGGAGAAACTTCAAGTTTTGAAAGACATATGTATTATGTTAATGATAAAATTTGTATAAGCAATCAATGTATATAGGGAACACTCGTGGAATAGAGTACTGTGACGGTATCACCACATGAAAGGCTCGCTGTAAATAAAATCAGAAAAAAAACAAGTGACGAGAGAACGGTTGAGTCATGAGTGACGTGCAGGTGTGGGCCCCGCGTTTGGTGGTGCACACATTACCAAGCAGCTAGTGACTAGTGTGCGTGCGTCCAATTCGGAGCCCCCTACGCGATACTCATGAGCGCCAAAACCAAATCCCATTTATTCCTTTTTGCCGCTCACTCTAAAATAAATATAGAAATAAAAAATAATAATAAAAAAATTAACCGCACCCAGACCAAACCCTCCCCCACAAGTACAACACCTTTTCCCCTAAATTTCACTCTGCAATTAACATTCGAAATCGAAATCGATCTTTCTCCCCCAATTGTTTTCGCCAATCCTGCTAAATCACTCAATCTGCCTTCCTTCTCGTCCCGTTTCCCGAGCCGGAATCAGGCCTTGAGCCGCATCAAGGAGAATGGCTCAGCCGTCGTCGCCGGCTCCACCGATCGCCCCAGCCCCGCCGCCTCCTCAAGCAGGCGCCGCGGCCGCCGGAGGATGCCAGGTGCGGTGCGCGGGTTGCAAGATGGTGCTCACCGTGATGCCTGGGCTGACCGAGTTCGTTTGCCCTACGTGCAAGCTGCCGCAGATGCTGCCGCCCGAACTGATGCAATCTGCCCAGGCCCAACAGAGGAGTGCTCTGGCGCTCGGCATTGATCCGACTAAGATACAGCTCCCATGCGCCAATTGCAAGGCCGTGCTCAACGTCCCCCATGGGCTGGCGCGCTTCAATTGCCCCCAGTGCCTCGTGGGTCTTGCTATTGATCTCTCGAAGATTGGGCAACTTCTGCGTCCACTGCCGCCTCCTGAAGAAGTGAACGAGGTTTTGTCTTCCCTATGATTTTCCCGCTTGCATGTTGTGCGTAATTGTCTCTTGGTTGGTTTTTCTTGATATTTATAGTAGCATGAATGTTGGTGGTTTATTTATAATATTTAAGCTAAAAATACATTTTTTGAACATTGGCTGGGAATGCAAGGGTTAGAATGGGATGTAGTTGAGTCCCTTTCAATGACTTTGGATAGTTCACGATGTACCATGATTTTCTTGGTTATTTTTAATTTCATCACTTGTCAAAAATCCGCCACGCCTTAACGCCATGGCCTCCATTTGATAACACTGACTGATATCGAGTTGTTCTATTTTTTCATTTCCTTGAAGAATTAAGAATATGATTATGATTATGAAATTGGAATTTTTAGTTCTACTTTATGGCCTTGTTTATGCTATCAAAACTTGACAAAATGTATTTTAATCACGGTTTAGTTGGATTGTGTTATTATATTATTAGATCTTCACTCCCCGTTCACTCAGTCCTTTTGCTAGCCAACTGTAGATGTAGGTTTTGTTTATTAAACTTTAGGGCCTCACTTGCGCTGCAGTCATGGTTTTATCTTCTGTTTTCTTGTATGCTCTTGCCTTCTGAGAGGTGATAGGTTACGACTGCCGATCGTGTAGATGTTTTGAATAGTGTTCATGCTTTCTGATTGATTTGATGTTTGCTATTGTTTGCTTAATTCGATATTATTTATAAACATTTAATTATTTATAGAATATTACTATATAATGTGCTTTCGAGTAGTTGTCACCTTGTGTTACTATTTGATTTTAACGCATAGACCGTGGGCAGTAGATCATGATTTATCCCCCTGACACTTACTTCCGCTTCATTCCAACAAGTGATTTTGAGTCATGAAATCTTCTTTCAAAATCAATAATATAAATATTAATTCAGCTATTTGGTTATTGCAACTTTTCCCTCTTTTGTACCTCTCTTTTTTGTTATTTAGTCTCTGTTGGAGCTCTTTGTTAAGAGAATTGCTAATTATTGTTTTTTTCTACTCATATCAGGCAGCCATTGATGTTGAGCGGGAGGAAGATGAAGGTGGCTTGGCTGGAGAAACATTTATGGATTATGTATGTTTTCTGTGCTCTTATACGAACATATGTATTTTAAAGTATCTTGGCTAGATTTCCTCATATAAAATATCCAATGCTTTGTGCAGCGACCTTCTAAACTTTCCATCGGTCCACTGCATCCAGATCATGTTGTTGAGACATCATCCTTATCAGCTGTACAGCCTCCTGAACCTACTTATGATCTAAAGATTAAGGATAACCTAGAAAATTCAGAGGCATTGTCATGCCTGCAGATTGAAACATTGGTCTATGCTTGTCAGGTGGCTTTTTCTGAAATTTTGCTACGTTTTCTGTAGAATTTTGAAATCATCCTTTGTAACATTGGTTTTTCATGACAGAGACACCTTCAGCACCTTCCAAGTGGTGCTAGAGCAGGTTTTTTTCTTGGAGATGGTGCAGGTGTTGGTAAAGGAAGGACGATAGCTGGTTTAATATGGGAGAACTGGCATCATGGAAGAAGAAAAGCAGTGTAAGTGTTCATTGGCAGATGCATTATATAGGCCAGGGGTCTCTCTTATTTACTAGTTCCTGTAGTAGTGTTAGGAGTGAGACAGTGTATTTTTATTTTCGTATATAACTTTTAATGTTATAATTTAGGTGGATTTCTGTTGGGTCAGACTTGAAATTCGATGCTAGAAGAGACTTGGATGATGTTGGTGCATCATGCATAGAAGGTACCTTTAGCTTGAGCTTATGATCAATGGCTTTATCTGAATTTTGTTAGAACTGGAACTTTATTATTATTTAGAGAAGCTGATGGGCAATTGGATGCTGGATTGCCTAATGATTTTGATATGAAAAAATTTAAGTTTTGAGACGCAATTTGTTCTCCCCTTGAGTGCTTCAATACTTTATTTATCTTTATGAATGGGTGATGCTTTGTTCCCGAGTTAATAGTCCTCCATTTTTTGGATTAATCTGACACATTATTTAACGATTATACTTACTGAATTTGACCTTATGATGGAGCTCCTTGGCACTGACATTCAACTGGATCTGTTTTCAATTGCTTTGTAGTGCATGCTCTGAACAAGCTTCCTTACTCTAAGCTTGATTCAAAGTCTGTTGGCATTAGGGAGGGGGTTGTTTTCTTAACTTACAGCAGCCTCATTGCATCTTCTGAGAAGGGTCGTTCACGATTACAGCAGCTTGTACAATGGTGTGGTGGACAGTTTGACGGACTCATTGTTTTTGATGAAGTAGGTTATTTTGAAATTAATGTCTCTTAGGACTTCTATATTGACAAGACTTAAATATGATACAGATGATGGGTGCCTTGTCCCTGCAAGGAACAATTCTAAAACCTTATATGAATTGTATTGTAGTGTCATAAAGCAAAAAATCTTGTTCCCGAGTCGGGAGGGCAGCCAACAAAGACAGGAGAAGCCGTGCTTGATATTCAGGTGACACTCCTTTACCTGTTCTCTTTAAGCTTCACTTTTATACTTTAGACATCCTGGGGAAATTCTTGATGCTATTAGTTAACTTCAATTAAAAGAGGTAGGTAAATTATATGCATGGATTTTCTAAACATTCTTCCTCTCCCTAAATCACTAATTTTTCAGATCTGGCAAATTTGTTATGCATTGCTTCTATAAATATGATGCGGCCTTTAGGGATATACTTCTGTGAACAATAATTGGTACTATTTTTTATTCATTTTTCTTTCATTAATAGGTCAAATTTCTTTATTTGGATTTTTAAAGCTGGGAATTACTGGTTATTCATGAATTAAGCTAGTGAGATTTGGTATTAGCATTTAAAATAAAATGTATACAATTATTAATAGTTATATTAGCTTGTGCATCATTTCAATGGTGGTGGAAAGCAATCGGATACGATATCTCTGTCATGGAGTCTATATATAAGCAAACATAAGCTGGTTGTGGAGATATTTTGTTAATTTGGCTGAGATCCGTTAGGACTAAATAAGGATAATCCTAATTTTAGTAGCAAGGCTTCTTAAACGGTGCTGTATATCCACACGATGAAGGTAACCATTCTAGTGGGAAAGGGAATATCTAGGCTGTACAGAGATGCACTATCGATGCCAATGAAAAATTGCAATATCTGCGAGAAGTTTAGGTTGTGTTTGAGATTTGTATTGACTAGATACTTCTTCTTTGTGAATAATAAGATAAGATGTGTAGAATCTAGATCATAAAACTGTCTAGAGCAAGTTTATGGACCAATTAAGATGTTAGGTTACCAACTATCAGTTTTTTCTTGTGCTCAGTTTAAATGGTTGTGGAGACATTCTCAGCATTCTGAAATTTATCTCTTCTGATCCTTCATTCTCAGAATTCTCACTCAATTGGACATGTCAAAGAATTTTATATTATAAAACTTGAACTTTCTCCTGTCTAGGGCTTTTTCTGTCTTCTTGTTTTCTGTTACTACCATATTAGTATATTTGAGTTTCCTGAACATTTTGTTTGTTGCTGTGTCTGTGGTACCCCTGTGCTGTTGACTTGTGATTGCTGAAATTAAATTGTGTAGTTAGTGGCAGTCATTGCAGTTCGCTGTAATTTTTTGTGCTCGTACATTACAATTTTTTCCTTTTCATTTACAGTTGCTATGCTTTAGATATAATATTTTTATGGAGAATTGTTTACGTCTTAAGAGGATACTTTTCTGTGTTTTATTTATTTAAATTTCTGTACTGTAGGCCAGACTTCCTGAAGCTCGCATCATGTATTGCTCTGCAACTGGTGCCTCTGAACCGCGTAATATGGGCTATATGGTTCGCCTTGGTCTTTGGGGAGCCGGAACTTCTTTTGCAGACTTCGACAGCTTTTTAGGTATAATATCTTTGATGCAGTCTAGGGCCTGCCTAACTTAATTTTTATGCGGTTGTTCTCTGAAATTTCAATATATATCTTTTATCATAATCATAACTTTGCCTTAAAACATGGATAGGACGTGTCACATTCTTATCAATCGATAAGCTATTCACTACGCTCTACTTTTGTAACTCAACATGCTCCACGTTTTATTTGTTCCCTTCTCCAATTTAAAATTCCACTCTCTTCTTGACAGTGCACCATTTGTCTTTGAAAGACCATTTGCAATGAGGAAAAAACTACCTTTTTTCAGTATTTGGAGGAAATAATCTATTAGATGTGAGAGTATACAATGTGTTTGATTCTAAATTGCTCTTTGATATTCCTCTACTATTGCATTCATGATCACTCAAAGCACTTCTCTGGCCCCTAAAGACATGTGATGTGTCATTAATCATTATTAGGCGTTGAGGACTCTAATTTTGGTTTATAAGTTGGTGTTTTACTTAGTGTTTGATAGATTCACTTCAAGATGTTGAGGTCTTCTCGTTTATATTCTATCTCTAATCTCGTACTATTTTACTCGGTAGAATAGTTTTTTACATGGTTATCAACCCCTTTTTGTTGGTTTTTTTAAGGTGCCATGGATAAAGGGGGTGTTGGAGCCCTTGAGCTGGTTGCAATGGACATGAAAGCAAGGTTTGTGGCTCAGATCCCAGGGGAGTAAAATCTGCATATTATTGTATAATAAATTGAAAAATAAATCTTCTAATGTGTAGGGGGATGTATGTTTGTCGAACACTGAGCTACAAAGGTGCAGAATTTGAAGTTGTTGAAGTTCAGCTGGAAGCAGACATGATGGTATGGTGTGATTTCTCTTTTGTGTCTTGCTTCCAGGAAAGGATTCCTAATTCCATAACCTAAAGTCTTGTGCATTTTCTCTTACAAATTTAGGGCGTCATTTTTTTTTTTTTTCTTTTTCTCGCTAGAGAATAGTGCGACTGGATATGCATTCATTGAAATTTTTTCTTCCACCTGGAGAAAGTGTTTGGAAAAACTTTGTGAACAAAATAATGTGGACTATGATTAATCTAAGATTAAAAATAGTTAAATAATAATGTGGACTATGATTAACTAAGATTGAAAATAGTTAAATAATGAGTGGTAATTACTAGATAGAAATATGTGAGTTGATGAAAAATAAAGTTTGTTGTAAATTTTGGTACGGTGATTTTTAAAATTGAGGTGAGAACAAATGAGATGGGTAAATGGTATAATTTTTTAGAAAATTTCTCTACTGAGATGTTAATGCTTTTTCGTTGATATCCAATTGCAACCCGAATGTTTTGGAGGAAGAATGAATATTTTTTAAGAATGTAAATGGATGTAGAACAAAATTGTAATGACCAAAGTTGATGTGATTTAAACCCAACAAAATACTGATTGGTAGTTAGAAATATGCTAGTGGGTTACATAAAAGTTTATTGGAAAGTGTGTCACAATGATTGATTTTTTACTTTTAATTTGTATTTATAAGTTTGAGGAGAAAAAAAGTGATGAGTGAATCGTGTATTTTCTGGAAAGTTTCGTATCCAATCACAATTTTTGAGAAAAATATTTTCACCAGTGGGGTGAATGTATTATTATTATTATTATTATTATTATTACTTTTTTTTTTATTTTATGTTTTTTCGTATCCAATTCGCTCCCCTAATCTCTCCACTTGTGCTGCTCGCAATGTGAGAGTATTAAATCCTTTAACACTGGTAGAATATGCTAAAAGTTTTGTGTATACATTCTTATGTTGTACTAATATCTGTTGTCGTAGAAGTCATTTATCAGATGTGCCCTCTGGATCAGTTCTTGACATTGGCCTTTAAAGAAATGATGCATTTCGCTATAAATGAAATTGATAATATAGGAATTTGACCATATTGGTAAGAAATCCTTATAGAGAAGTTTTCATTGGGATGGAAAACTTTGCTTTAGCCTCAGTTGGCAGTATAACTTGAGGACCTCTCTTTGCATTGCTTGTATTAAGGGCCTTTATTCTGTCAAAGTTGGCGTTGACGAGGAAGGCTTCTGGCTTCTACAGATGTATCTGATTGATATATCCTGATAGTATTAGTTATCATGCTTTTCTTCAACTTTAATAGGTCGCAAGTGCAATCAGCTTTTCTTATTGGTAGTTTGATACTTCTCTTTGTGCCTGCGAAGGTTCTAAAATAACCTCCATGTTAAGTCTTTTTATTTTGTTGTTCTCAGGATATGTATGGAAAAGCTGCAGAATTTTGGGCTGAGTTAAGAATGGAACTGCTATCTGCTAGCATGTATTACGCCGAGGAGAAGCCTAGTTCAAGTCAGCTATGGAGATTGTACTGGGCCAGCCATCAGGTTCAGTAGTTTTAAATCAAAACTGGAATCTTTCAACCTTAATTTTCTATGTCTCACTTTGACTACACGTTTGGTCTTTTGATGCACTATTTAGCGCTTCTTTAGACACATGTGCATGTCAGCTAAAGTGCCTGCAGTGATTAGACTTTCTAAAGAAGCGTTGGTGGAAAACAAATGTGTGGTCATAGGCCTCCAGAGCACAGGAGAAGCAAGAACCGAGGAAGCTGTGTCAAAATATGTAAGCCTGTTTGACATGGATAATTTTAAATTATGGATATTCCTTATATTGATTACATAATATACACACACACACAATTAGCGGATAGCTAATAACTTATTTGATTAACTAGTGTGACTAAATGATTGGATTAGCATTTTGTATATTGTTTTTTGGTAAACAACTATTAGCTGGAATAGCTACTTAATTTAAAAACAACTAATAAGAATATTGTTGTAAGTTATCGAACCATACTATACTTTTGCTAACAATATTGATATATGTGGTGATTTTTGAAAAATATGTATTGTAACATTTACTCGTACAAAAGATACTTATTATTTTAAAGATATGTATGTAAATTTATTTAGTTATTTAAATTTAATAAGTTGCTCTATAAATAACTTTTATAAATTTTTATATGAATTAGTGATAAATATATCAACTTTTGGGAGCATAAGCAAATAAACAAAGAAACTAGTATAAAAAATCTCCTAAAATTTTAAAAGTTCCAAACACTTAGAAAAATGATGGTGCAACTTGTTAAAAAAAGAGTAATCAATTCAATTAATGCGAACAAACTGAGAATGAGATGAAGAAAAGAATAGCTAAAAAGGAAAAGGGAAAGAGATTTTTTTTTCACTAGGTTTGTGATTTTTAATACAAGAAGCGAAAAATGGGACGAACAAGATACGTGAATGTAATTACTTTTGCCTTTTATATTTATGGAAAATCTAATTTTCAATAATCTCTTTTCTCAATTCTCTTGTCTCAAAAAGTTGGTATACCCAACTTTTCCCGATCAAATTTTCAGACTCAATTACCTAGTGGATTCATCTGTTTACCAAACGCTCGACTTAGAGGTTTTGACAAGTCAAACCTTTATTTTGGCCACAAAACGCTGTTTAGCAAACAAGACCAGTATTGTTTTCGCTTAATATGTTTAAAGATGGAAGAAAATAAATCTGCCACATGTTCAAGTCCCAATCTCTCCTGTTTTTGCTCGACTCTTCCTCTGCATATTGCTGGAATATTTTTGTTAAGATAACACTGATAACTTCCTGAACTTCTCATTTTACTGAGATAGGGTGTGGAGCTTGATGATTTTGTCTCTGGGCCTCGCGAGTTATTGCTAAAACTTGTTGAGGAAAATTATCCCCTTCCAGATAAGCCTGAGCCACCGCCAGGTACTTATTATTGTATATGGTGAATTGTTGTACTATTTCTTTGATGATGATGTATTAACTATGTTTTCTACGCGTAGAGGATGAGAGTGTAAGAGAGATTCATAGAAAGAGGGAAGCTGCCACATCCGACGTTTCATTTGCCGGGAGAGTGAGGAAAGTTGCTAAATGGGATGAGGAAAGTGAAGAAGAAAGCGAGTGGGAGTCTGAAAGTAATTTAAGAAATGTCTTGTGATATGTCTTAAATAATGTAGACCAGCATTTCTAGTTTCATAATATTGACATTTTAGCATTACAAAATACGATTGCTGCATCCTCTTAATCCCTATTCAGTTATTACCCATGGTTTGTTTATCTTGTTTCCTGAATCATTTGTTTCCTGTCAACCAGTTATCAATGCCTCATTGTAGTTTTAGATTCATACAATCTTATTTTTATGATAATCTGAAGTTTATTCAAACAGGTACTTTCAGAATTCATGATTATCTTAATGTTGCCAGCACTTGAATATATGAGATCTTTGAGTAAAATAATGGACTGAGAGCAATTCCTATGCCTTTCAACAGCTGTCCTTTGCAAAAACCTTAACTTTGTGTACGGAAATACACAGCTTTCTTGTATCTTGACACAAACATTTCAATGAAGGATGAATTATTTTTTGGCTTCACTTAATTTTTCAATTAAAGGCTTGAATTTTTGTTGTTTCTGTAAATTAGTACCAAATTGTTGTTTTCACTTTTCAGTTGAAGTAATTTATATGGCTTTTGTTTGTCAATTAGGAGTGTACTATGAGCCTTATTTGAGAATGAAAAGCATTATAATTAAGGTCTCAAATTAAGAATTAAAAATGAAATGTGCTGTAATTTAATTAAAATGTGAGATTCCAAAATTGTGAACTTTTAACAACTTGTTCCCTGCCGAATATGCAACTCTATTGTCTCCACTTATTAACTGAACTGTTCATTTTATTACTCCATGTTGTCCCCTGACAGTAGATTGGGTTTTAGTACTTGGCATTTTTTAATGTTTTATCTTTCAGCTTAGATTTAACTTTAACTGTTTCTGTTTTTTCATGGCTAATGGGCTTTGTGGTAAATGCAGCTGACACTGAACCGGATACTGAATCTGATGATGAGTTTCAGATCTGCAATGTATGCAATGGAGAAGAGGTATATTCCTTTACATATTCCTGTTACTTAGATGTTAAGGTTATCATATTTTTTCTCGTCTATATCTTTTTTCTTAACTTCTGGAGTAGGAAAAGAAGAAGTTGCTTCAGTGTTCCTGCTGCAGTCAGCTTGTTCATCCGGCATGTGTTGTACCGCCAGTTGAAGAAGTAATATCTGGGGATTGGTCTTGTCCGTCGTGCAAGGAGAAAACGGAGGAATATCTCCGAGCTAGACAAGCCTATTATGAAGAACTTTTGAAAAGGTGAGAGTTGTACAAAATTAGCGACTTTGCTTTCTTTAACATATTTTACGTGCGCAATAGTTATCCATTTTATCAGATTTTTTACGTCGCTCATGTTAGCTAATTAGTATACTTTGAAACTTGATTAGATATGAAGCAGCATTGGAACGCAAATTGAAAATTTTAGAAATAATACGCTCGTTGGATCTTCCTAATAATCCATTGGATGATATTATCGATCAGGTAATTTCATGAGTATATTAGAACCAGCAATTTTATTACTGTAATGTAGTCAAGGGCACTTTTATATATTGACTTTGTTTGTTTGACGCAGCTTGGAGGCCCAGATGAAGTAGCAGAAATAACAGGGAGGCGAGGCATGCTTGTTAGAGCTTCTGGAGGAAAAGGTGTAACATATCAGGCTCGAAACACGTGAGTGTAGATGTATATCAGTTTCACTCGTTTCTAGTTGTTTCTAGCTTACTTATCCTTGTACTTCTCTCTATAGGAAAGACGTGACCATGGAAATGGTAAATATGCATGAAAAGCAGCTATTCATGGATGGTAAAAAACTTGTAGCTATTATTTCAGAGGCTGGGTCTGCTGGTGTTTCTTTGCAAGCAGATAGAAGAGCCGTCAATCAGGTGATCATCTTTATGTTCAAATTCATTTCCTCTAGGCGCTTTGGAATCATGTTTTATTCTCTATATCATAATTTTCATACATTGGAGTTGGAATTTTATCTCTCCACAGAAAAGAAGAGTTCATATAACTCTAGAACTACCTTGGAGTGCAGACAAAGCAATTCAACAGTTCGGAAGAACTCACCGATCAAACCAAGCTTCAGCACCTGAGTATAGGTGATTATGAGTCACTGTTGACTTGATTAGGCTTAAATGGAAACTGTTATAACAGTGTGTGCTACCATTGTTCAGTAAGTGTAGGACACTTCAAGTTATGAAAATGCCTCTTCTATGTTTTTAAGACAAGGTTACGAAATTCAGCATGTTGAGACCAAATTGAACATGCCACAGAAAATAATTATGAGTGTCGAAATGACGTTTGCGTATTAATTAGTTTGAATTGTGGAAATCTGTTATAATTCCCTCCTGACAAAGAAGCAAGAAGTTTCATAATTTGAATTGTTACCGGGAAATTGGAGTGGATATCTACAATTAAAGTGTGCAGTATTCTGGTTGCCCATGGGCTTGGTACTTGGAAATCAGCATTTGTATGAATGAATTTTTGTGGCATGCGAAATTACAGCCCATAAGTTAATGGTGAGAAGGCCGGTTGAACCCGATTAAATAAATTTTTTGTATGTGTCACAGGCTGCTTTTCACAAATCTTGGTGGTGAACGCCGGTTTGCTTCCATTGTTGCCAAGAGGCTTGAATCTCTTGGTGCATTAACACAGGGGGACCGTAGGTAAGTTTTAGTCTAGAAGGGGTGTTATCAAGATTGATGAAGGTCTTTCACAGTTATTTTATATCCCTTGTTTAGCTATGTTAGCTTTGGAGCATTGTGCATTGCAGGGCTGGACCATCTCTCAGTGCTTATAATTATGATAGTGCGTACGGGAAGAGGGCGCTGGCGATGTTGTATAGAGGAATCATGGAACAGGTGCTTATCTGTTAAAACTGTCATTAATGAAATTATCCCAATCATATACTTAAAGAAATGCTTACGATGATATTGATTGAATTACTAGGAACGCCTACCCATTATTCCACCAGGATGTTCATTAGAAAAACCTGAGACAATTGAAGACTTCATGCTGAAGGCAAAAGCTGCACTTGTGTCTGTCGGAATAATCAGAGATTCAGTTGTTGGTAATAGCTCAGCTATCTTGTCATATATAGTGTTACCTCTTCTCCCTTCACCTCCATTGACAATTTTGTCTTAGAATGCTATAACTTTCCTTCAGAGGTTCTNGAAATAGACTGTCTGCACTCAATCTTAAGCAGTAAGAATTTAGGTTTAATGATAATATTTATGTCTTGTTTTAGGTAAAGGGAAGGATGCAGGAAAAATTTTTGGTCGTATAGTTGATTCAGACATGCAAGATGTAGGCCGTTTCCTCAACAGACTTTTGGGGCTCCCTCCTGTGATTCAAAATAGGTTTGGTTTTATACAATAGTTTATACTTGATTAAAATTCACAACTTACAGCCTAACGGGAGAGATACTGATGGTTTTGTAGGCTGTTTGAGTTATTTCTTGGCATCCTTGATCTTCTTGTTCAGAAGGCGCGTGTTGAAGGCAATATAGATTCTGGGATTGTTGATATAAAAGCTAACACAATTGAGCTCCAGGGAACTCCAAAGGTTATTATGGCCTTCTATGCTTTGGTGGGTTTTAGCATCATATTCATAGGCAGTTATTAACATCCTCTTTTGGCAGACTGTTTTCGTTGACAGCATGTCTGGGGCATCTACTGTGTTGTTTACTTTCACATTAGATCGAGGAATTACGTTTGAGGTACAATTTTTTCCCCTATTAACTATTGGTGATCATATAATCCTAATGACTTTTATGCAGCATTGTTTTTCTTATGTAGTCTGCCTCGACATTGCTCGAGGAAAAGCGGAAGGATGAGTCTGGTTCAAGCAACAATGGATTCTATGAATCAAGGAGAGAATGGATGGGAAAACGGCATTTTATATTAGCATTTGAGGGGTAAGAATATTACTTAGTGTCAAAAGTATGTTTATTTTACTGTTGCGAGTACACGTGGAGGGTGAAGTTTTTTGGTTGTTTTAGTTGTAATTTGCTTTCCTAGGGACCTAGTCTCAGTTCATGCAATTTAATCTTTTTTTATGCAACCTTGCCTTTCCCAGTTTGACTTGTTTGTTGCATTTGATTAGTTTTATCTTCAGCGCTTGTACATTTCTTTAGTTTTATGGCAGTTGGATCATTTTGGTACAAACATGTTAGTTTTCAGTATTTCAAAGTTTTTGTTATTGTATACCACATTAAGACTTCACTCCAATTAACGTGGTCCCGAGTCTTTAGTCTTTACATAGGTGTACTGAGCACCCACAACAACACACACCTACACTTTTCTATTGATAATCCAATGTTTTTCTGGTGCCAGTGAAGTTTTTGGATTTTCGGTAATTTGTCATGGTGACTGTCTTACTTGAGATTTAAGATTTATATTGTACATACTTTATTGCATGAATCAGATGTTATTTAAGTATACACAACCGCGAACTTGTCTTAAACTCATCTGTTTATGGATTTTCTGTCTCTGCTTAGCTCTGCTCCTGGAATGTACAAAATATGCCGTCCTGCCATTGGGGAATCCATCAGGTTCCTTATAATTACCACTAGATGTCTCATAACTGCTTTTTTATTTGTTAATGTGCAAGCCTTCCTGACTTCGCTTTTAATAAACAGGGAGATGCCTCTGGCAGAACTAAAAGACAAATACCGAAAACTTTCATCACTAGAGAGGGCTCGTAACGGCTGGGAAGACGAATATGGTGCTTCGTCCAAGCAGGTAACTTTATCAATGCCTTCAGAATTTGTTGAAGAAATATGTGGTGAAGAAATTGAGAATATTATATCTCCTTGACCACATATGGCACATGGTTTTTTCTATGTCTGGAACAATGTGTAGTATTACAGATATTATTTAAGCACTTTCCCCTCTCAATTAGTTCTATAAAGAACAAACTCTGTAGGCCGAGATCTAAACTCATATGTAAGGTTACATGAATAGCATAATACTGCCAACTAGGCTTTTGTATTGTGTTCTATGAATGCTTGTTATGCATGTCTAGTGCGTACCAACAAATATTTAATTGCAAAAGAAGCGTACAACTTATTTTTTTGAAATTCATGATACTTGTATAATAAGCTCCCATTGGCATATGAATTCATATGATTTTTAAGTGCCCCAACCAAGTTGTTACACATGTCGGTATTAGATAAATTTTTCCATTTAAAATAGTAGGGAAATTCATTTTTGTTAAATTTTAGAAGTTGTGGTGTGAAGAAGAAAATAAAGTAAATAAGGTGAAATATCTTGCTATTTGTGAGATTTTTTTTCCGAACTGCATTTCATACATCTAATTGATAAACTGAAATAGAAAAGGTAATTAGTTAAGTCGTTGAATTTGTTGTTTCAATTGTTTGGATTTTATCTATCAAAGAGGTATTGTGTGATTAGTAGTTAGTGACAATCTTACATGAGTAGAATAGTAATGCCGGTTGCCAAAAAGATAGGCAATTCTAGCCATGGCCAACAACCTAGGCGGCAAAAGGTGGATTGGTTGTATGATCATGCAAAGCGACAAATTAAAAACACGTTAAATGCATATAATCTTATGAAATTAACTATTTGAATAATAAATCACATCAAGGATGATAGAGATAACCTGAAATAAGGCATAGACGGTTGAAGTATATTGCAGAATAATGTTAAGAGTAAAGGACTGGGGAAAAGGGAAAATACGTTATTTTATTGATGAAAACGAATAGGGATGTGCAAGAAATACCAAACTTCTCTAGTCGAAATCTGCCACTTGCCTCCGCCAGAAAACAACCTTATCCTCAAGACTGCAGAGAACAAAGTTATGAGTATACGCCAAATCTATACGACTCTTTTGAAAAACAACACCATTGGTTATTGAATAATGCCCAGGGGCCCCGAGTGTCGTAAAGCAGGCTGGAATCATGAATTATCTGCCTACCTTCCGCCATTGGAAAAGAGAAGATATTTGCGATGGATTTTTTAGTCTTGATTGTATGATGACACGAGGGTAGAATCCAACTAGGAAATCTTCACTAAGAGTGAAAAATCCAAAAGGAAGGCGGGCATCAGGCAATCTTATTATTCTGTGAAGCCCACTCCACTAGGCTTCACACTCCACTAGAACCTGTTTCGAAAGTAGAAGAAGTTGCTTGCACTACTCTCAAATCTCAAATTTCCACATGTAGGTGATTCACACTAAGGATGTGGAATAAATGTTGACATTGACTTGGGAGGTATAGTTGGCTTCAATGCTGTGCTTCGTTGTAAAAAATTCCATGACCAACTCCCTAAGTTTGGTGATCGCCTCCTCAACATGTGTGAGTCAGTGCTCAAGGACTTCTTAACCCTTGACCCTTCTCCATAGTTGCAACTTGGGATTCCATGCTTGTCATCAATTTGGCATGTCGGCCAATTGTTAAGAGTAGTAAAGGATCAAGGAAAAGAGAAAATGTGTAATTTTATTGATGAAATACGAATAGGGATGAACAAGAAATACAAAACTTCTCCGTTTCTTGCGCAATAGGCAATAGCCCATGTTATTAGAAAATCCATACTATCCTATCGACAACCCTATCTTATATACCAAACTACAACTAATATAAAATGTTAATAAGAAATATAAGAGGCAAGAAAATTATAGATTATAGGGAATAATAAATTAAGAACTAATTAAGGTCCCCAAAAATCAGCATAAAATATTTGAAGATTGTTATCCTTTTATTGTTGCATCTCTATGAAATAATGAGTAATTTAGCAACTAAGTAAAGAAAAACTAGATGAATAGATTTGGGGCAATTTTGGGATCTAGATTGATTGTCTTTGGAAGATATTTATTTTTGTGCTTCTATTGTAAATACCTTCAATAATTGTCAGTCGTTAGTAGGAGACAATGTTAACAATAATAATCATATACTATTGGCCGAGATAAGTTCTTGATGGGAAGATGAAGCTTTATCCTTCTTGTTACTATATAATACCAAGTACAATTCAATATTTCTCATTCTCTTGATTCATCGCTTTTATCAAAACAATAATAAACTACATCAACACTAGTCATTGGCACGCAACAAAAAATGATAGCGTTTTAATGATTAGAAAAGTAAGATGCTGCAATCGTGAAGGAAATAGAATGCATTAATCTTAGCATTTATTTTGGCCAACAATTCTCATGGAGAATATGAATTCCCCCTTTGGAAAATTTCCTTTACAGTTTCTTAGCTGGCCTAACAAGTAACCACTGACGGAATCATATGGGGCACTGAACCCCTAACTTTTTAGAAGAAAACCTTATGAGAAATCATAACTCACGCACCCTTCTAAATAAAATTAGTAAGGGCTACTATAGCCTTTTTTGCTTGCTTAAAATGATTGATGGTTTTCCTTAAACAAATTATCGGAAAGAAACTCATATTTTTTTATACTTGCGATCCATTATGCTTAGGCTTTTTATATGTATTTTTTTCGTTCTAAACTTTTTTTTTTTGTTTGAAATGGTTTTAATGCAAAAATTTTTGTAAGCATGTTTATGTAAAAT